TACCACACCCCCCATCCACACCCACACCCTCACCCTCAACCCAGCACTGGTCTGTGTCAGCGTCAGGCGCCCCAAATGACACATAGCACTGAGATCAATTGAGCACAGGCCAGGAGATATGGGCTGCGGGGCAGGGAGTGATAGGGAGCGAAATGACGCAGCAAGAAAATTGTGCAGCTGAACTGTTGTTGGCAATACTCTTACCAAGAGTCTTATTAATGAATCATGATATGATATATATAATAGGCAAATCAGAAGAGAAATCTTTTATCTTCTTATACCAGATTCTCAACTTAAGATTTAACTGCAACTCTTATACAAAAATGAATTCGTTTCTTCGATGGAAGAAATTCTCTCCAAATTAGATATATATATAATTTATATATTTTTAATAAAATTATAAAAATATACTCATGTCTAAAAAGTAGAAAAAATAAAAACTTTTCTAAAATATGAAAAACTTTGTATCAAATAAACTAATAATTATACGAACTTTTTAATAAATACTTTGTGAAAATATAAAACTTTTAGTTTTAACCAAATTAAAAAGATAATAATAGAAGTTGTGTTAAGATTAAACTTCTTTGATTATATTTCTATAGCTTTTGTATAACTTTCATAAACTTGTACGTTCGCCCAGCTACATTTCAGCTGAAACTTTCAATTTTAGATTGCCGTCTTGGTAATTAAACATGGCATATAGTGGAAATAATTTTGCCACCCATGACTTAGACTAGACTGAAGTTTAGTTTTGTCTACCAGCAGCGCTTAGGTTCCATTTCTGTCTCCGACCATATCTACGACTCTGGCCAGGTTGTCACTCCAAGCCGAAGCCTTGGCAAGCAATTTGCATATCAGTTGTGTGACTGTGTGTGTGTGACTGTGTGTGTGTGAGTGTGTGTGTGTGTGTGTTTGTGTGTGTGTTTGTCTGCGGGCTGGGAGAGTCTTGTGATAGGCATGGAACGGCATTTGACGTCTGGTCGGGTCGCTCGCTGCCCAGTTACCAACTGACTGCTCATTGTCGTTTCACTTGGCCATATTTTGGCGCAAGTTTATTGTGGGCCAGCTAACCAGGGGCTGGCCCGGGACTGACTGCTGCTGCTCTGATCTTGTGCACACGCCTCCTCTACCCAAACTCGAATGCAGCTCAAAATGTCAACTGCTGGCCTCAACTGAACTGAACAGAACTGAACGGAACGGAACAGTTCTCCATTGATGTCGTGCTCGCTGTTACGCATAATTTTTGTGTATCCACCTTGGAGTGAAGTTGACGACTGCTCCACAAAAGAAAAGAAAAACCAACTGACTGCAGTCTTGAATAACCAAATATTTCATATGAATCGCGAATAAATTCTAGTTTTAAAGGCATATTATTTACATACCAATAAAAGATATTACATATAAGCTAGGTAAAACTACTTCCATATACAGTGAATATTCTTTTATATCATGAATAAAAGAATATACTTTAAACAATGATGTTATTGAATTTATTCAAATATACTTTTAACTATTTCATAAAATATAAAATTAAATTGTAAAATTCTATTAGAATCTGCTACACATAGAAACACAAAAGTTCTGTTTAGAAGACTTTGTAAAAAAATAAAAATAAAAAATATTCCATTAGCATATTCCGCTCGCTGCAGTCCTAAACAAATGTCAAATATTTAAATGGAAATAAAAAACCTTTAAAGTCTCAAGCTGAGCTTGGAAAGAGCATTTGCATTTCGTTGCCCGCATTGGCCAAGAGTCGATTTCTAGTCACTTGGCGCTCAGGTCGAACGGTTTTTCTTGTCAACAGCTTTTGGCAATGGCAACAAACTGCTTCATTGTCACTGTTGTTGTTGCCGTTGTAGCTGCAGTTGCGAGTCGTTGACACATAATTCGCAGTTACATAAATCGCATAACTGTGTCATGTCTGACGCGTTTCTCAGGGCCCCGAACCCAAAATAACTGACCCAATGCCAAACACACGCAGCATTCCAACTTGCAACTTGCAACTGCAACCTCTGAGTTCAGTTTAAAATACATTTACCGATGCAGAAAATACCGATTCAGATACTGATACTGATACCGATTCAGATCCAAATACAAATACAGATGCATATGCAGATACTCATTTCAACTGGGCCAACGACCAACACGTAACTAGCGAGCGCGTGACTGAAATGCGTGACACATTTTGACCACACCCCCCTCCCATCTTGGTTTTAGCCTTTTTTCGTCAGCTAACTGGACAATTGGTCCGATGACATTTGACTCGAAATGAGCTTATGCACTCAGAGAAATTTAAGTATAACTCAAATTCAGTTCGTATCTTTCTTCCATATGCGATTTGAAGAGCTAAAACACTTAGTCAAAACCCAACTGAGTTATTCTTTTTTATGAATATTATATTTTCAATTCACGTCAAATTTCACAAAATGCTGCAATTTGGTTAACCGAGTGAGAACAAACAGCTACAATAATAACAATGTATTTTTTTTCGAGTGCTGACTTCGCTCATTGTTGAATTTAGCTTTTGAATTTGATTACCAAGCGGCGAGTGGAGTAGCTGAGTAGCAAGTATTTTGTGCATCCTTGAGCAGCATTGGCTTTTATTATGCTAATTTGATATTCCCATTGTTTGAATGCACGCATATCACTTTATTACGAGCCCTAGCCTCTGCCTGTGCAGCAGGAGCTCATTTGCATGGCGGCTGCCATTTTTGGTCAGCCTCAACCTCAACCTCAACTGTATGCAAATTTTCGGATGTTTTTGCTGTGCTGCAACTCAACTCGAGCAGTAAGTCAAATCAGAACGTCGGCCAACAGCTTTGAGTTTCCTTTGTGCTGTCAGCGACGGAGCAATCATCAATAAACCGACCACTCGCTCCACTCGCTCAACTGACTCCACCGACTCCACTAGCTCCACATAACCCACCAAAACAATGTCGAAATCCAGCCCACAAAACAAAAAAAAAAAACAAAAAACCATTAGCACAATATCCGAAGACAACAACCGAAACAAACATAAGCAGATAATGTGGGCTAAGCAGCAAAAGGAAAAAATTGTATTTAAATACGCTAACAATGACAGTTTCAGCTAAGACAAAAGCTTTGCAGCATGTTCAATTTTTCTATAAATTTTGGAATAACATATTCATTTTTATGTGAATTTCAAGGTAATAATTTTTTTGGGAAGGTATAGATCAAGCCAAAGTATTTGATTTAAATGCTTTCGACATTCCAAATAAATTTGCAAAATAATTTAGGCAATTCTTCACAACTCTTTCTTTTTGGCGCTTTCTTCAGCTGTGTTACAAGCTGGAAGCCACTTCGGCCATAGCCAAGTTGGCAAGTGTAGTTAAGAGCGAAACTTTACATATTTTGTGGCAATTGAACATTTGTTTTCATTCAGCGCAAAGTTGCATTGAAAAGCGTACCGAAAAGTGATTGATGTCGTTGAAGTCGAGCGCCAATAAATTATCAGCAAAGCAACGCCAGGGAGCAGAAAATAAAGGGGGGAAAGATATAAAAAAAAAAACAACTAAAAACGGCTGTTGGCTGGCCAGATGCTCGAGTTGGTCGAGTTAATGATTTGGCAATAATATTACATTTGCGCGAAACATTTAAGTGGCAAGCGGAAAATTGCACACGAATTCCAAAATGTTGGACGCGGCGTATGAGTAATGCGCATAAGGCAAAGCCGCGCCACCAATTACAAGCCAAGCAACACATACGTACAACCAGGTAGAAAAGCAACAACAACAACAACAACAAATCAATTAAAAACAACAACGGGCAGACGAAGAAAAAAAAACACGTTAGCAGATTTTGTACATCTTTGAACGCCCACATTGGGCCCAGCATTGAGTTCAAAGATTTCACAGCGCCGAAAATCTTTGCCAATTGGAGAGTTTTGCAGGCAGGGAATTACACGATTTACGATGGCGTTTACGGGCGACAATTGTGTCTGTCTCTCTGTCTGACAGTCTGTCTGCCCGGTCGGACACTCTTCTCAGTCTCAGCGAGTTGGTGTCTCTGTTTCTCTGCTTCTCTGTCTCTGGCGAAAGGTGCGCCTGCGCATTTTTCACAAGCAACACGAATTGTTTGGCTGTTAGAGGTTGCTGCCTGTTGGTTGCATGTCGCCTGTTTGCCAGCCAGCCTGCTTGCCTGCCTGCCTGCTGTTTGCCGTTACTTTCTCGGCCCCGTTTGCAACATCCGCTTAGCTGCCGACTCACTTGCCTGTCAGTTTGCCCAAATTGCGTATGCGCTGGGACAAAAGGTGCAACCAACAGGCAACTGCAGTTTTGCAGTCAGTTGGCAGTCGGTGCCTTGGTTGCCTGGTTGCCTGGTTGCCACCAACTTATCTATGTATGTGCATCTTAATTGTCAGCTGGTGTGTTAGTGGGTAACTGGGCATGCTGTGGCACAATTGAGGACCCAGTTTAGTGCCACAACCAGCAAGTCAGCCAGCCAGCCAGCCAGCCAGCCAGGCAGCAGCAGCAGCAGAAGAGATGCCACAATACAACACAACATTGCACAGCGAAGCTAAGCTCCACAATTTAGTTGTGGCTTAGTTCATGAGCTGTCATTAATCGAGACAGCCGCGATGATTTAGTGTTTAGATATGCCCTGCAGTCAATTACAGATCAATACGAATACTGTGAACAAACTGTGAAACTCTACAAATTTCCAATTCTTTTTTCTTCCATTGGGTTACACCCTGGGAACGAGGTTAGAATGGATAGAAGTTAACTCAGTTAACTCTTCAACTTATTGTCATGCTTAATTGGCCCCAATTTTGCTTAGATATTATAATGAGTGATGGCAAAAAAAACAATTTGGTGAATTTGCAGATCTTTAACAGTCCTTAAGTGCCATCCTTTATATATTTATGTGTAAGCAGATTAAATAACATATTTTATATATATTTTGCGTAGCTCTCTAATTGCTAATAATACATAAATATTAACAATAAACAAATATTTCTCTAACAAAATAACTCTCCCACAACCATCCACAACTGGTCCTATGCTTTGCAGCATTATTCAGTCTGTGCTTATTTTATTTATGTACATTAAATGTTGTAGTCAATGAGATTTGATATATGAAATTGGAAATAGATTAAACATATAAACTGGTTGACTAGTATATTAAATCGTCCACTCAACGAGGCCATAGCTGATACTGCACTTTATTGTAAGTTAATTTAAGCTTTTAAATAATAAGAATATTATCTATTTTGTTGCCCCCAAAGTGCAGTCTCAGCTTTGTATAGCGTATGGGAAGTTGATATTAGAATCGAATGTGTGGCAGGTGTTATGATTTATATAAGATTTAGTGTGTGTGGATGGCAAAACAATTCGCTGCAGTTGCAGCTACTAATTTGAGAACTAGTTTCAATAGATTCATATAATGTGTAGTTTAGTTGAGCGGTGTTGGTGGGGGGACTTTCTTGGAGAGATCCAGGGCTGGTGGAGTGCCAACCTTTGCCTTACTGGATGAGTTATCGTTGTTGTCGCTGGGAGACTCCGTTGGGGGCGGCAGCAATGCCGACTTGTGCAACTTAAAGCCATAGAGTCTGCAAGAAGAGATGCATACGCATGAGTTGGGGCAAGACAAAGAGACAGAGCTGACACCACAAACCGAGGCGTGTATTTCCTAGTTGGTGGCTGGGGACGCAACTGCGGCCACTGCATGAAGAACAGGTGCGGAAAACTGCTTCCAAATATTGCACCGTCAAGCATGGTGCAACACTTATACGGCTGATACACATCCTGGCAGCGGGGACAATAAACCTTCACACGCGACTCCCCAAAGTTATCCGCCAGGCCCACGGGCAGCACAAACTGCCCCTCGCAATGGATGCGAGGACAACTGCCGAAATCGCCACGCTTATATTTCAGGCACATATCATTGATGCCATCGGGAGTGAGTAAATATCGGGCATGGATCAGGCCATACAGATGAGTTGATTCCTTGACATCCGTTTCCATTGAATTGAAGCCGGACTCTTTGTCAAATTCTGTGTCGAGTATGATATCCAATGCACGATCGAAATTGGGCACCTGCGGCTCCAGATCCGTCAAATTGAGAGAATACTTCAGAAAATCGTCGGGCACACGACACAGAAAGGTATTCACGGGCAGACTGTGAAACCAGCCCAGCCAGGAGCCATCCGATGTGGTCATTTGACTGCTGCTGCGTTTTATACAGTCATATCTAAAATAGATATATTTTTACTTATTTACTCACTTCTTCGACATTCTCAATTATTTATTAGCAATTCCAAATCGAGAATTATTGTTGTATCTAAACCAATCAGTTAGCTGTCGCTTTGCTTTTAACTGAGCAGCCAAATTTTGATTTTTCTGGCTTCTATAGAATTGTTTTCTTCTTTCAAAAGCTCAATTTACAACACTGCACTGTCATCGCTTTTTTCAATACTTTCAGGGATGTAATTAATTAATACTATTGAATTACAGCACTGTGAGCAGTGTGTTTCTGCCAAAAGAAGGTGACTAAGTCTTCTTCATCTTCTTTTCGCCTAGAGTGTTGTGCAGACCTATAAAAGAAATGCCACATAAAATGCCGCCCAACTAATGAAAGAGTCTTGAAAAGCAGATGTCGGGCAACAGCTTGAATTAAGACAAAAAAGCACAAATAAAAATTGGCATATTTTTGCCATTTATATGCCAAGTGAAATTCACTTAACTCACGAAGAGGTGTGAGTGTGTGTGAGCTGATTATTGATCAAAGTGTTGCAGCAGCCAGAAGACATTTCCGCTTCGATTGGAAAGCGCTTGCAGAGAGAGAGAGAGAGAGAGAGGGACAGAGAGAGGGAGTGGAGCTGAGAGGGAGTGTCGCGTCATTCATTCATGCACTCATTCGTGCACTCATGCAGTCAGTGTGTCGGCCAACGCTTACTTGTCATTTGATTAATGAGACCACGCTCGACCATCGATCTCCATTTAGCGGACTCGTAGCTCCCCCCTGCTTGCCCCTGCCCCTTGCCACTGCCACACATTCAGTTGGACAGTTTTTGGCGAACGGAGAGCATGAATAATGGGGGCGTTACCAACAGTTGGAGCAGTTACAGGTACGCGAATATTCGCAGCAAAACAGCAAGCAGCAAGCAACAAGCGGCAAGCAACATTGTTGATGTGTTGTGTGCCCCTTTTAACGGCGTTCTAATTGCGCCAGTTGCAAGCCTTCTCTTACGGCCATGTTGTTTCCCACTGACGACTGATGCGTGAAATATTTCGTGCAAGTGTGCGAGTGTGTGTGTGTGTGTGTGTGTGTGTATGCGAGTGTGTGTAGGGCTGGCTGTACACTGCGAGACAAGGGGGCGTGCCCAGTGACATGTCTTAACTGACCAATATATAAAGGCCAACGCAGCGCGTCAAGAAACGTGCTAAGCCCATTGCTCAACAATGTTGCAAAGCTGTTGTTGCAACTGCCTCTTGTTGTTGTTATTGCTGTTGTGTGTTGTGTGTTGCACTGTTTCTCAGCCATGAGACAACAGCTTCAACTTCATTTGGGTTAAGCGATTGCTGGCAGCTGCTCATTGGCTCGTAACTGCCGCCTCTTGCTGTAAATGCTGTACGACTCAGCTCAGCTCAGCTCAGCTCATAGGGGTTCACTTTGAAGGTACGCTGAATAAGTCAGCATTCCAATTATGCCAACTGCAAAAGTTGCACAATAAACAAATACCCTATACTTAATGAGGGAACAACCTGAGTACTTAAGAAGTGCACTGCAAATTAAAGAGCATTTAGTGGTTTAAGACGAATCATCTTATTCACATTGTGATCTTATCCATTATCTTATTGATCATCGATTAGCACTGATAATAGCTTTGCCTAGTATTTAATAATTCCCAGAAAAGCTTCCTTCTTGCATTCGAAAAATAAACAATAATGAAACCATTCCAGGAAAAGGAATATAGGGAATATAGGGAAAGGAATAAGCTTTAAGTCGAATTATTGCTATATTATTCCTATAAACATAAACAAAGTCGGACATATTCTTATTTGCAAAACATAAAGAAACAATTCCCAATAGGAAACAAATCAATCAGTCAAAGGTGCCATCTATCAGTGACTTATTTAATAAACTAAAACCGCACTTGTTGTCTGCCCAATTGTTATTCAGCTGTTGCAGCAAAAAGAAACTATAAATTAATAGGCCAATGGGATGCTCGATCGCTTGCTAAAGGGGTGCAACCCCCCTTAACACACTTCGTGCCCCTCACCAAGCACTGCAAATGGCCCCATGTGAGAGATACCCTACTATTTTTGGGGATGGCGACAAATATTAATTGCAGACGAGTGCGTTGCATGCACACATGAAAATGAAAATGAGCAGCAATTAATATGCAGCAATATTACTTGGCACTGCCAACGCAGTATATTTCATAAAAACAGCGCACACATTTCTCCCAGTTGAACACTCAAAGCAATTTGTAGGCAAAAAAAAAAAAAAAAATGTAATGCATACAAGAAGCAGAAATGCTGCTAAGCGAAATCTAATTTAGAGCAAAGCGCGCGCGCTTTTTGTGGACTCTTTTGTTGGGCTATGTACAGAATGGGTATCTATATATATGTAGATATATATCTATATACACTATATGGTTTTCAGTTTTGTTGTAGCTGGTAAACAAATGTGACGCGGTCATATCAACGCTGAATGTCATAAGTTTGACAGCATACAATTTACACGTTGATGGAAAAGGATACTGAGAACGAGCAGGAGTAGGCGGAGTAGGAGTGCCAGATATGCGAGATGTAGATGCAGATACAGATACAGATATGTGTGTGTGTGTATTGTGTGTGTTGTGTTGTGCTGTGTGTTGTGCACAGGCGAACGCAAAGTGTGAAAACTCATTTGTATCAAATTTCTCATACATGGCTGAAATGGATAGATAGATAGACTGTGGAACATAGGGGGGATGAGGCTGCAACGCAGGTCTCGCACACACAAATTGATGTAATAAACTCTACGCGAAGCGGCGGCGCTGACAGGACAAACTTGTCGATGTCGATGAGAATGTGAATGGGAATGGGAATGTGAACGGGAATGGGAATGGGAACGGGAATGAGTATGAGAATGACGACCCTCCTGGCTGAAAGTGTCTGCCATGTGGGGGTGCAAATCTACAGCCAATGCGGGCCTAGACTGGACGAGCTACATTTTTGATATACCCTATACCAAGTACTACAAAGGAACACAAGGGTTAGACTTGGAGCAAGGTAACAATTTACTTCAAATTTTATTCATTTGGGAACAAATCCAACAGAAATGTACAAATTAATGCAAATTATTGCAGTGGTTGAAACTTAATTTTTTATATTCATAAATGAATGTGTAGCTTTAATCATATTTCACTAACCAATCTATTTAATTGTACCTTTTAATTAGAATAATCTATATTTTATATACAAAAACCATCTCAAAATTATTCTATTGCTTAAAAGTTTTTTCAAAGATTTCATTTATTTTCAGCCCTTAATAGCTGAACCTACATTTTTCTTACAGAAAACCATCTGCAATTTTCTTCTGGCATTTCTTTTCTCTTTCCAAAATTATAGGGTGAGTATCTCTCGAATTGATCGAATTTTCTCACAGCATTCTCAGTTTTTTTGCTGTTGCCCTTCTCTCATTGCCAGTCACTCACAGAGTTTGACATTTTTGACATGGTTTGTAATTGACACTTGCACTTGCTACAACGGCAACACTGCCACCACCAACACCACCAACACCAGCAACAACAACAACAACATCATCAGCAAGCAGGCAATATACAGTAACTTTATCTCTGCGCGTCTGTCTGTGTGTGTGTGTGTGTGTGCAACAACAGCCGCAGCAGCAGCAGCACATCTCCATCTCATCATCGCGTGTCTATATCTCATTCTGCCACTCCCGAAATGATTTATTTCATCACTTGTGCTCCCCACAGCACAACAAGGGAAACCCTGAATTGGATGGGGTGTGTGGGGTAGTTGAATGTCAGTCAAATTCGTTGCTATGAAAAATATGTGGAGCTATTACAAAGCTACTGTCTTGCCGTTATTATATTATGCTCCTGCCGCTTGCCAAAAGATTTGTCATTTGCTGCTTGCTGTCTGTCGATTGCTCCCTGGACCCAGAACCAAACTCAGACGCAGACGCAGACTCTGACTCCGACTCTGACTGCGGCTGAGACCTCGTCTGAGACTCAGCCATAGAGTCGAGAGTTCTCAGATCTATGCAAGTCCTCAATTTCGTGTCTGCCTGTCATTCAAGCCCAATTGATGGCTACAAATTGTGCGTGGTGATTTTTATTAGATTTGATGTGGTAAACAAGTCGTTTGTGTGTGGGTGGATATGTGTGTGTATGTGTGTGCATGTGTGTGAGGGGGCGCCACACGCATTTTTCAAATGGGTGGTGGTGGTGTTAGCTAAGAAGTTTGGCGATACCATATCACAGATACAGAGAAACCCGAATAATTGTGACTTAAGTTAAGCAATCTTTCACCGAAAGCTAATTGAGAGGTGTATCAATTATTATACACAATTGAAACCATAACAAATTATATATAAGCTGTAAGCTTTAAATACTTGAATACATAATTCCTCCAGTAAAAACTCCAAGAGTTGAATCAAGTTTAAGCACAACTTAATTTGCTTCTAACATACATGAAGCGAGCAACTGAATGCAGTTTCTTTCACCGAGAATTGACAGTTGGCAATAAGATCAATTAAGTTAGACTAATTAGAGTTTCGTAAAATATTAATCAATCTAACTAATTTCTCAGGCACAATCTCGGAATTGCAATCTATGTGCAACTGAGCTTATGCAATCTGCTCACTAATTAAAGTACTCTAGTCCACTAGATGTACTATTTGCAGCAATCTCAGCTCATCAATCTAAAAATTCGTCTGCTTATCTAGCATCTACAAAGCAATTTATCAACTGCTGCTGCTGCTGCTGCTGCAAGATTCCCGTTTTTATTTATTCTTATTTTTTTGTATTCTTATTTTTTTTATTGCCTTTGCAGACGACTTTCTGTTTGCATTTCGTGGCATCCACAAAGATTATTCACAAATTAACACGAGAGCAATCTGAAATGTTGCTCGGTTCCAGTCGCAGTCCCAGTCAATCGGAACTGCAGCCACAACGTATTAAGACTAGCTCATAAATCAGTTGAACGAACTGAAAGACAACAACAACAACAGCAACAATAACAGGAACAAACAACTACAACAGAGAAATGGGAAAACAAAGTATTCAAAGAGCGCCACGCACTTTCACACACAATTTTCTGCACGCACTCAGCCA